TTTGGACGCTTCTTTGAGATTGCTTAAGGCATCGAGGAACGTACACACGCCTTCCACTGGAACATTTCTCACAGAAGAGCAGCCGGTTTCCTGAAACGGAAACAGAATCGGTTCATACATTATCAAGGATATCAACACAACGAAAGGTTTTCAATAATAAAGCTTAATCCTGGTCACGGAGATATTAAAATAATTCCCTTTTCGAAAAGTTAAGATAAGGTCTTCGAAAGAACTTCTCGGAAATCACGCATCATTTTGAGAACGTTTGTGGCATTTCGCTCTTCTGAGAGCGTTGTTCAGTAAAAATCGCTCATGTCAGTTAGTCTAGATGCAGAATTGCTCTTTTATTGAGCTAAGTCGTCAAAACCCTCACAAAGCCATAATCGAAATTTCAGTATTTACAGAAACGACTAATTATCGTAAAATTGTATCTGCCACGGCGAAGAGTGTGTCTGTCACACGTTGGGGGTACTAAAAAATAAAAACCGCATATTTTCAAACACAGTACGAGACGAATTCAACACGTCAGGGTGCGTTTTATGTTTTCTGCTCCATCAGATATGCTGGTTTTAAGTGAATAATAGATCGTAAAGAAAGCAATATTTTGCATGAAATTTCTGACAGTCAATTAAATCCTTACCACGAATTCAAGAATAAGAGATTATGAATCACAATTTTGCTACATTTCCGAAGGTTTGGAGAATTGAAGAATCCAATGAGTCTTGTTTTCGTAGTCAGATTTGTAAATTTATTTTTTAAACGGCACGAAAAATGAGAGATACGACAAATTTTCAAGTAAATACGACTTGATAGTTCCTTCTTCGGCAGATCGTATGAAACCAGAACTTACCGCAATTTTAGCGACGATCAATCCAGCGGAATGAGGCAACTGATAATCTTGGAGAGCAAAATCCTGAGAGGGATTCGCAACCATGTTCATCCACGGGTTCATGGACATTTCGAAGCTATACGGGTTAACTTGCGACATCATCTTCATCGTCTGATTAAGACCAACCACAGCTCCTCTTCCTCCTCCCATAGACTACAGAGAGACGATATAATTAAATTAGCAAAAATTTCATACCGTTTCGAGTGGTTTTCCACTATTTGTTATATGAACTCGGAACGTGTTTAGTTACCGATAAGTGATGACGAAATCCCGGGTTTTGACCGATAAGAGCGACATCCCCACTACTCCATGCCTGAGAGGCAAAAGCCGGGGATGGAAGAGATCCTTCCAGAATGGGCTGCCCTCTTTCGAGATCCCTCATGGGCAGAACCACGGGCACTTCCGAGTCGTGCGACAATTTGGACTCTACTTCGAAAGTTGGACAACTCTCTGAATCGAAAAAGGTTTCACGTCAAAATCATGGATGCAAATAGAGTGAAGGCATTATACAGCGAATAAGGAAAGAAAAATGCCGATTCTCATTCTCGAACCGTTCCATTTCCTGACATGTTTATTTTGGCTGTAACGGTATGACAATTATGAAAATCATACAAATTAATCTACGGATGAATTATCCCATCTNTTGAAAGTGTCCCAAACTCGTTTAAAGAAATCCATGCAATGATTCAGCTTGTTCATTTTCCGCTGGGACCAGCAACACTTTCGAAGGTCAAAATATAGCAGTATGAAAAATACCCGCAGCTTTTTACTCTGCGTCCTGGTTTGGCAACTCCCAAGTGGAGACCTAGGACTCCATGATTTACTTCACCGTGACGTAGATGTCGCCTGAATTTAATCACGATTGGACAATTCAAAAAAACAATATAATTGAAAACATTCTAGTTTCGGTTGAATTGGGTTATTTGGTCAGATCGGTGATTCCGGAGTCACCCGCTTAACATTCCGGAATACCCGGACGATGAGTAATACTCAAATTTTCATTACTTGTCCCTACATAGTTGTCTCTACTCGCCAGATTTTGGGTAATTCAGCCTTGGGAAGGCGACTCGCGCTTTCCAGATATTCTAGAAAGCGCGATCAGGCGTTGAAGTGAGAAGAAAATGCTGAAATTTTTTTCTTGCCAACTCCCATACACGATGTTATCATGAACAAACCAACATAAAGGTCTGAAGCTTTTTCATCGAGACTTCAGGGAAAATTGCATGAAAGAAAGTTTCAGGTCCCTAAAACCATTTTGAACAAAGGAAATCAGCTCAGGTTTACCTTCTCCAGCTAAAAAGGGAGAGGATCCCTTTTCTTGTACGCCCTTATTTTTGCTAAGAGAACTCTGTCCGACTCGTTCTTCCTCGGATGGGACAGTCGCCAAGCGACTCTTACAGNAGGAAATCAGCTCAGGTTTACCTTCTCCAGCTAAAAAGGGAGAGGATCCCTTTTCTTGTACGCCCTTATTTTTGCTAAGAGAACTCTGTCCGACTCGTTCTTCCTCGGATGGGACAGTCGCCAAGCGACTCTTACAGGCATCACCCACATCGACGTTATCTTTCCCGCTCGGAGTCAAGCGTGAAGGAAATTCTCTCAAGGCACTCATTTCCTTTTCTCGCTGACGCAAGAACAGCACCATTTGTTTGAACATCTCCCAGTCTCCAAACGTCATCCCTAGAACTGCCTTCAGGTCGTCTAATGAACACGTGAGCAAAACTGCTCCACTGATGTTGTGGAGCTTCAGAGCTTCTTTGTAAGCATCAAACCTGCGAAGAAACTCTAACGAATTCCGTAGCTCCTTGCATGTGTGCGGAAGGTGACCTTGTAAAGAGTGTCTTCTCGTCGGCCAAAGGACTTTGCCTTTGTCTTAGCCAAGTATGTAATAGTTCAATATCAACACAACGAAAGGTTTTCAATGAATAAGCTTAATCCTGGTCACGGAGATATTAAAATAATTCCCTTTTCGAAAATTTAAAATAAGGTCTTCGAAAAAACTTCTCGGAAATAACGCATCATTTTGAGAACGTTTGTTGCATTTCGCTTTTCTTAGAGCGTTCAGTAAACATGGCTCATTTCAGTTAGTCTAGATGCAGAATTGTTCTTTCATTGAGCTAAGACGTCAAAACCCGCACACAGCCATAATCGAAATTTCAGTATTTACAGAAACGACTAATTATCATAAAATTGTATCTGCCACGACGAAGAGTGTGTCTCTCACACGTTGGGAGTATTAAAAAATAAAAGCCGCATATTTCCGAACACAGTACGAGACGAATTCAAAAAGTCAGGGTGCGTTTTATGTTTTCTGCTTCATCAGATATGCTGGTTTCAAGTGAATCATAGATCTTAAAGAAAGCAATATTTTGCATGAAATTTCCGACAGTCAATTAAGCAATCCTTACCAGGAATTCCAGAATAAGAGATTATGAATCACAATTTTGCTTCATTTCCGAAGGTTTGGAGAATTGAAGAATCCAATGAAAGTCTTGTTTTCGCATTCAGATTTGTAAATTTATTTTTTTAAACGGCACGAAAAATGAGAGATCCGACAAATTTTCAAGTAAAAACGACTTAATAGTTCCTTCTTCGACAGATCGTATGAAACATTGAACAATTCAGAACTTACCGCAATTTTAGCGACGATCAATCCAGCGGAATGAGGCAACTGATAATCTTGGAGAGCAAAATCCTGAGAAGGATTCGCAACCATGTTCATCCACGGGTTCATGGACATTTCGAAGCTATACGGGTTAACTTGCGACATCATCTTCATCGTCGGATTAAGACCAACCACAGCTCCTCTTCCTCCTCCCATAGACTACAGAGAGACGATATAATTAAATTAGCAAAAATTTCATACCGTTTCGAGTGGTTTTCCACTATTTGTTATATGAACTCGGAACGTGTTTAGTTACCGATAAGTGATGACGAAATCCCGGGTTTTGACCGATAAGAGCGACATCCCCACTACTCCATGCCTGAGAGGCAAAAGCCGGGGATGGAAGAGATCCTTCCAGAATGGGCTGCCCTCTTTCGAGATCCCTCATGGGCAGAACCACGGGCACTTCCGAGTCGTGCGACAATTTGGACTCTACTTCGAAAGTTGGACAACTCTCTGAATCGAAAAAGGTTTCACGTCAAAATCATGGATGCAAATAGAGTGAAGGCATTATACAGCGAATAAGGAAAGAAAAATGCCGATTCTCATTCTCGAACCGTTCCATTTCCTGACATGTTTATTTTGGCTGTAACGGTATGACAATTATGAAAATCATACAAATTAATCTACGGATGAATTATCCCATCTTCAAACTTATTATTTTGGAGTATCCCGAAATACGGAATTCTAGAATTTAATTCTAGTCTAAAATGATTTCCAACGATGAAACGTTTTCAATGCTGCAACCAATCATGATTTTCAACAAGAGCTCGGAGTTCATTTCTTATATTTTGAAATAAAACAGAAAATCTTTCTCTTTCGCACAGAGAAATTTCCTGAAATATTTATAAGACTGAAAGTTACTATTGAAAGGCATACTTCAGAACATAAATTTACTCTTCGATCGGAATAATTGACAGAACCGACTAACGAATACGGAAAAGGATGCAGTAACTTTCGTTAGGGCAATTCCTTCATTTCACCTATATCGAAAAATTATAGTTAATACATGCTATCAATTGGGGCTAGAAATGTAAATGAACCCCAACTTCCAATTGATTCAGCAAATCGTAGCATAAACCATTAAAAATATTCCACAATATGAAAATTATTCGAATTCTTTGTGTGCTTCGTATTTTAGCCCCATGCTTACCTTTGATGACTTTTCTCAAGTACGGATCGAGATTTATGGTGAACGGCAGGAACACTTTCATGTGGCTAACTTGCAAAGAGATCTTGTGAAATGAGAGAAAAACCGACAGCTTCTTCTCGTCGCGGTCGATATCCACCAAAGGATGCACTTCTCTCGAATGCGGCATCGCATGGTAAACACTGCGGAATCGGAATTTTCTCCATTAACCCATAAAAGTTTGTGAACCGAAAAAAAAAATCCTGAACAGTAATCAACAGAGCACTAAGAAGCTTTCAGGATAACAGATGAAAAACAAATATTTGGTGTAAGCTTATCTACAAGAATACCGACGGAAATGAGTTCAAACTGATAAGAAACGGCAAGCAAAACAACCACTTACGCATCGTAAATATCCTTCAAAGGCGTGGAATCGTCCAGCTTCTCTGAAAACCACTCGTAGTAATAAATCAGCCAAGAGGTTCTGTACGGCCATTGCTCCGTTATATTGATCCAAATAGCGAGGTTATACCAGTTGAAGTCTATTTGAAAAGCTTTCAGCAAACGACCTGAAAGAACCCAAGATAGGATATAATCAGTCATCGTGGATACATATGAATAATCTTAGGGGCAAAAGCTTGGGCCCAAATTTCTGCTCCCCAGCTTCGTCAATGAGCAATCGAAGCAATACTTGGTTTACAGGTCGATCATAAAGCGATAGATATGGATTTCATCAACAAAAATATATTTAATGCATCGAAAGTGCAGGGCAGTGCATAAGGCAACTTCTTCGCAATACAAATCTTCCATGCGACATATGACGAGTAGAAGCAACATATGCGGATAACACGCCAAAAAAATTTCGAATAAATACCTACATTCATAAAAATGGAACAATTTCCTCATTCAAGTAAAATATTGTAATTATAATACTGTAGCCAGTATAGACAATTTTTCGAATGAGTCAGTGACGAATTTCTCATTGTTTAGAAACTTTTCAGGTCTTCGTATAAAATGACATGATCCAGCAATTGACAATCCTCGAAATTCTTGGACATCGTACAAAACGCCAATTTAATTGAGTGGTAAGCAGAATACTCATTCACCCTACAAATTAATTGGTAAAGGCGGTTTCATCATCATTATTCAATGAAAATCACAGACTAAAGAAGCAAACACAGATAAATTAATAGCTTTTGCATTTTACGGATGCAAATAAGTCAATTTGATGAATTTCGTAAGAACCATCGCCTTCAACATAATCCTCAGAATTGTAATTCCGTTCACACGTCTTCACAGCATGGCAATTTCATATAAAATTTCTATGATGAAAATTTGGCGAACAGATCAGAAATCATAATTAATATAAACAATTGAGAATGATTCAGAGTAATTACCAGTGACGTAAACGACGTTCATCAGTCGCCTCATACTTCTAGGATTGACATCATTGAAGTAATCGTCAGTCAATAGAACGCGAGTCAAATCCTGGGCACCAGCAGAAACCGCGTAACCCTGGTGGTTTATATTCATACCACCGACGCGGTGAATATTACTGCTGACGCTACCAGCCAAGGATTCTGCTGATTTGACAGGCACTGATTTTCCACCAACAACGGACAGATTTCTTCCAGCTTGACTATGGCTCCAAACTGCTTGGGCTACTCTTTTTAACACTGACCGGTTACTTCGCAAGCTACAAGAGGCAACTTCGTACATGATGCCTTTTGTTTACTTACTGTGCTAAAGTAATGCTCGTGTAAAAATAGGGATTCCGGAGTGGATGAGAAAACAATATTTTCATAAAATTGATTGACATAGCAGAAACATTCTCCAGCAGAAAGCCAACCATTTTAGGTCCATATATTGCAATTACAACCGAATTCGATGCATTTTTCAATACTATGAACGCAATGCAGAATACCGTCATTTCAAAATCTTCATTTCTCAGCAGTTCATAATAAGCAGAACATTTTTTTTTACTTTTATATTTTCCGCAAATTTCAACAGAAAATTTGAAGATTGAGTAATGAGTTAAAAACCTCTAAAGAGAATGGGAAATCAAGATCTTTTCCGCATCTGTTTCAAGTAAGAGCTCGTAATTTTTTTGTGGAAATCAAAGACTGGAAAAAATATAATACTGAATTTTCTCTTTTCCTCAGCAAATTTTGTATTCACTTCGAAGAGGATTTCTACTTTCCATGTTCGAGCAAAGAAAGGTTTAAAAAAATACAAAAATCTATTCTACAGGAAAAAAAAAAGAACGGATGAAAGACTCACCGCATGATTTGCTTCGTCATCTAAATTGGGATCCTGTGCGAAAACATTTGGATGACGGTGAAATATGTGCTTGGCAGCAGCTTGAGCCATCTTGACTTTGCGAAGGGAAGAATTTTGCAGGTAGAACGGCAGGTGAACAATACAGTGCAAGTAATCATAGCCGCTGATATTCGACTCCTGAAAAACTCTATTCGAGTTCAGCTCTATTGCCTGAAACAAAATCGTATCATAGCGTCAAATACACTGCCTTTACCAAAGATATTTCTTTGGACATTCGATATGTATTTTGGAAATTTATGCAACTAATGGAATACCTGCTTATCATGAACAAAACGTATCACAGCCAAAATGTGCCTCGTTTGATCCGACGATAGGTAAACGTTCGTGAAATGATCTATTCGAGATTTCCTTTAAAAATCCATCAAAATCTGTTTTTGTAGTTATTGTCAGTCAAACGAAATAATTTTAAAATTCTGAAAACGGAGCTGCTTTGATGATGAAAACGTTCCGTCGAAATTGAAAACAATCTCTGAAAAAAGTAACGATATACCTACAAATTAAATGATACTTACTTTTATCACGATATGTGGATCGATTGCAAGAATGACGATGAAAGGTGAATGCTCATCAGAAAAAAGCAGATGAATAGCATCGAGAACATGTAGGACTTGATCTTGCTGACAGGAATCCAATCCGTCAACTATCACTACCAAACGGCTTTGACGGGATCCGAACGCATCCAATGATTGCACCTTGAACGGAAAATAGATAATTNTAAGAAACGGCAAGCAAAACAACCACTTACGCATCGTAAATATCCTTCAAAGGCGTGGAATCGTCCAGCTTCTCTGAAAACCACTCGTAGTAATAAATCAGCCAAGAGGTTCTGTACGGCCATTGCTCCGTTATATTGATCCAAATAGCGAGGTTATACCAGTTGAAGTCTATTTGAAAAGCTTTCAGCAAACGACCTGAAAGAACCCAAGATAGGATATAATCAGTCATCGTGGATACATATGAATAATCTTAGGGGCAAAAGCTTGGGCCCAAATTTCTGCTCCCCAGCTTCGTCAATGAGCAATCGAAGCAATACTTGGTTTACAGGTCGATCCTAAAGCGATAGATATAGATTTCATCAACAAAAATATATTTAATGCATCGAAAGTGCAGGGCAGTGCATAAGGCAACTTCTTCGCAATACAAATCTTCCATGCGACATATGACGAGTAGAAGCAACATATGCGGATAACACGCCAAAAAATTTCGAATAAATACCTACATTCATAAAAATGGAACAATTTCCTCATTCAAGTAAAATATTGTAATTATAATACTGTAGCCAGTATAGACAATTTTTCGAATGAGTCAGTGACGAATTTCTCATTGTTTATAAACTTTTCCGGTCTTCGTATAAAATGACATGATCCAGCAATTGACAAACCTCGAAATTCTTGGACATCGCACAAAACGACAATTTAATTGAGCGGTAAGCAGAATACTCATTAACCCTACAAATTAATTGGTAAAGGCGGTTTCATCATCATTATTCAATGAAAATCACAGACTAAAGAAGACACAGATAAATTAATAGCTTTTGCATTTTACGGATGAACATAAGTCAATTTGATGAATTTCGTAAGAACCATCGCCTTCAACATAATCCTCAAAATTGTAATTCCGTTCACACGTCTTCACAGCATGGCAATTTCATATAAAATTTCTATGATGTTAATTTGGCGAACAGATCAGAAATCAAAATTAATATAAACAATTAAGAATGATTCAGAGTAATTACCAGTGACGTAAACAACGTTCATCAGTCGCCTCATACTTCTAGGATTGACATCATTGAAGTAATCGTCAGTCAATAGAACGCGAGTCAAATCCTGGGCACCAGCAGAAACCGCGTAACCCTGGTGGTTTATATTCATACCACCGACGCGGTGAATATTACTGCTGACGCTACCAGCCAAGGATTCTGCTGATTTGACAGGCACTGATTTTCCACCAACAACGGACAGATTTCTTCCAGCTTGAGATACCGAGGTTTGACGAACCCGATGAGAAAAATTGTGACTGGCCAATGAAGCGTTCGATGTTCTCCGTTGAAGCATGTACTACGGAAAACAAATGAATGACACGATTTCATTACGAGCACATTTTTAGGGATTCCGGGGCGGATGAGAAAACAATATTTTCATCAAATTGATCGGCATAGCAGAAACGTTCTCCAGCAGAAAGCCAACCATTTTAGGTCCATATATTGCAATTAAAACCGAATTCGAAGCATTTTCCAATACTATGAACACAATGCAGAATACCGTCATTTCAAAATCTTAATTTCTCAGCTTTTCACAATAAGCAGAAGATTTTTTAAACTTTTATATTTTCTGCGAATTTCAACAGAAAATTTGAAGATTGAGTAATGAGTTAGAACCTCTCAAGAGAATGGGAAATCGAGAAGATCTTTTCCGCATCTGTCTCAAGTAAGAGCTCGTAATTTTTTGAGGAAATCAAAGACTGGAAAAAATGTAATACTGAATTTTCTCTTTTTCTCAGCAAATTTTGTATTTACTTCGAAGAGGATTTATACTTTCCATGTTCGAGCAAAGAAAGGTTTAAAAAAATTCAACCATCTATTCTACAGGAAAAAAAAACGGATGAAAGACTCACCGCATGATTTGCTTCGTCATCTAAATTGGGATCCTGTGCGAAAACGTTTGGATGACGGTGAAATATGTGCTTGGCAGCAGCTTGAGCCATCTTGACTTTGCGAAGGGAAGAATTTTGCAGGTAGAACGGCAGGTGAACAATACAGTGCAAGTAATCATAGCCGCTGATATTCGACTCCTGAAAAACTCTATTCGAGTTCAGCTCTATTGCCTGAAACAAAATCGTATCACAGCGTCAAATACACTGCCTTTACTAAAGATATTTCTTTGGACATTCGATAGATATTTTGGAAATTTATACAACTAATGGAATACCTGCTTATCATGAACAAAACGTATCCCAGCCAAAATGTGCCTCGTTTGATCCGACGATAGGTAAACGTTCGTGAAATTATCTATTCGAGATTTCCTTTAAAAATCCATCAAACTCTGTTTTTGTAGTTATTGTCAGTCAAACGAAATGATTTTAAAATTCTGAAAACGGAGCTGCTTTGATGATGAAAACGTTCCGTCGAAATTGAAAACAATCTCTGAAAAAAGTAACGATATACCTGCAAATTAAATAATACTTACTTTTATCACGATATGTGGATCGATTGCAAGAATGACGATGAAAGGTGAATGCTCATCAGAAAAAAGCAGATGAATAGCATCGAGAACATGTAGGACTTGATCTTGCTGACAGGAATCCAATCCGTCAACTATCACTACCAAACGGCTTTGACGGGATCCGAACGCATCCAATGATTGCACCTTGAACGGAAAATAGATAATTACCCACCGTTTCAAAGTCGCTTTTGCCAGAAAATTCCATTTCACCATGGTTCCCAGAAAACAAACCGGAATCACCAAGGGAAATTGACACCGTTTTCAAAAATGACGGTACATATTGATAAACTTTGGACTTTTATCGCAAACGTCAACAGATTTACTGACAAGGCGATGAACGAAATTTATTATCTTTAAAAGCCGATTACCACAACGTCGATCATTAGCGCAGATACCCTGATTTTAGAAGAACTTCAAACGGCCAAGTGTGAAAGCTGCTAGGAAACCAGATAAGAAAATTCAAGAATGAGCTTGAAGGCAAACGTCGATGACGAGAATGATTTGGTTTATTGATGTTTTCTGGATTTAGGACTCTCCGATGACGAAGGTTATCACTACGGTACACGGAAGTAGATTAGCGTAATCGCTTGTCATAAAGATAACGATGAATTTCTCTAATTTTCAGAATACGAAGCACAAAACGGTGATCGATGATAAAATACTTAGAAGTGCAATTGAAAAAAAATCCATACAACATTTCATCTTGGTTTCATGAAATTCACTGAAACTCGAGGAAAATTCCAAGATTTTTTTTCTCATATGAGCGTAGCCTAAATTTTGAAACGTTCTGTTGAAATGAAGTTTTTCTTTTTCGTTTCAAGAAATTAACTGAAATTCATCGAGAAAAATTCCATAGAGATTTTCTTGATCATGTCAGCGTAGCCTGAATTTAGAAAAAATGATTTGGTTCATGGAATGGTGGTTCATCAAGAGGACGACGGTAAAATCAGGTCAGCTTTAAGGGAAAAAAGTTGATTTCAGTCAATTTTCGTTTCAGTTTTTCGTCGAGGTTGAGAATGCAAGCGAAATTCGGACATTACAGTAAAAATAACTCCAGGGAATTTTTTTCTTCGAAGCTACCGCAAAACGGAATTTTCCTGTGAAGTTCGCTTCCATCGCGGAGCGGGAATCAAAGCTCCCGAACACTAATCCTCGAGGGAAAAAATAAAATAAATAATAATCCTCACGATCTGGTTCAAAAGGCGGACTTCCTTCTTCAGGGCATGCAGGTAACTATCTGGCGCAGCCACTTGAAACGCAGTGCCGGGTAACGTCCCAGGAATCCCAGCACCCGCTGCATTCATCCCAGCGGAATCCGCCACCTGAGATCGTAGGGCCCTTCTAATCTGCGACCGCGGGGACAAAATGACGGCCTTTATAATTCGGAATAAACACGATGCGGATGCGATGAGAACGCAGCCAAAGGTAGCTGCCACGGCCATCAAACCCAGTTCCAAACGCTGCTTCATGGCTGTCTCCGCTTCGTCTTCAATGCCCAACGTCAGAGCTTCGTACTGGGAATTCAAGGTTCCATTCAAATTACCCTGAAAATAAAAAGGAAAACAACCAGCTTTTCGGTCTCGAATCGGCATATAAATAGGCAGATTTTTTTTTTTCTACCTCAAGCTCTTCATCAACCCCGGTCTCGGACGGTTTGATATCTTGGAGACGTGCGAGGCCGATCGTCAAGCCGATCATCACCACAATGCAAAGCAGCATGAAAATCACAACCAGGAAAACGGGCAAACAGCAGACACGACGAAATCGCCAAGGAGAAGCGGAATGAACGGGTTTTGGGCGCAAAGCTCTGCAGAGTCTCGTCGTCAGGGTGCCTTGATCACGTTCCACACTCTCATACAAGGACGCGATCATGTTCACTACAATGTTCACTCCAGCTCCGGTGGTGGAGACCAGCTTCGCTTTGTCGGTAAAAAAGAATCTAAAATGCAAATAATCACATATGCAACACAGGTAAATTAATCTCAGAAGCATTCGTAATATATAAGCGAGGTGATTGAGGGACAGTTGAATATTTTTCATATTATGAAAACCGCCGCAATCCAGCTGAAGAACTGTTTCACATGCCTAATCAACTTTCGATTTAAATTAGCTTAAACGATAAATATGATTATTTCCCCACGGCGAATGACCAAAACTCATAAACATATATTTTTTTTGGCATCGTCTTAAAAAAAAAAAAAAAAAAAACCTGAATTTATTAACTGTACTGCGCTGAAATCCTGATCGTGTTCTCCTTACGTTGATTCACATTTCTCCAAAGGCCCGCATACGCTCACGAAAAATTTGTCATGGCGGAACGATTCAGTTACACCAGAAAAAAACCGCGTAAATGAGGACATGGTAAGAAACAAAGGAATTATAAATGAAGCTCTTGCCAGAAGTGGGAAGAAGTATTTGCAAATGTGATGCCAAATACTTCCGAAGCTGACCTGATTGGCTGAGCAACTCTGCTTTCATCTGAATAAGCTCGAGGTCCAGGAGGATGACAGAACAAAATGCTTGTCGCCATTCTCAACGAGCTCATTTTCTTGGCGAGCTTCACACCGAAGTTTTTAATTGCTTTTCTTTCCGTCCAGCTATTTAATACAAATAAAGTTTGAAACCATTCCAAGCGACGCAGGATTCTTCACGACGCACCTCCGAGAAAAATACCATATCACGAACAACGCTGAGTAGACCACAGTGAGTAACCCGAATCCGAGTCCGACAGCCAGACGCCAATTGCTGAATCCCAATCCAACACCCAAACCAATCATCACTGAGCACACTAATGCTGTGAGAAATAAAGGCGTCGATAACTGCAGAGGAGGCTCCATGACCCATTGTCTTCCGAAGTTCTTCATGTCCTCTACAGAAGAAGAAAAAAAAATTCAAAATGTGTCACAAAATAGCCATCTTTTAAAAATTAAACCTTCAGGACCGAGTCCAAGCTGTGTACCTGTTTTTATTAAATACATGTCACCTGAATTTGACTACTTTGCCCTTAATCTTCAATTATATGTTTCTTTCTGAAATATTAGTTGAGTTTAGACAATGTTCCGGTTATTTTTGCCAGTTGAATTAAAACTTGCTCAAAATAAATAAAGAATAAAAAACGGCAAAAGAAAAAAGTTGAACACACCTTTCAGCTTCGTCAAGAGGAAAGACTTCCCAGAACCCCATTTCGCATACAATCCAACCGAAATCGGCATAGATATAGAGGGTTCGCTCAACATTTCGGCGAGTGCCCCGGAGTACAAATCGTATCCCAGCAGGTTCTCATTTTGCTCCATGTTTAATCTTCGGGCTCCGAAAAGTTGACCCAGAATGGTTCTTTCGTGTTGAAGATCCATGTTGTACGGCGTTTCACCCTTCAAATTTGGCCTGTACAATAACTGGCTGTTCTTGGGATTCATCAGGAGAATCTCGACGATGGTTTTCTGCGAACCTGCGAAAAATTAAGCAGACATTACTTTTGAACACGCGACCAAATGAACACATAAATTGGAAGATTAGGATGATATCCGTCTATATTTTTTCACCATTGGAAAAAGGTTCATTAACGCAACGTTACCCAAGAAAATGAGGGGGGGGGAGGGTATAAAAAATTCTCTTGAGGCGATATTATCAAAGGGTCAACTTGATGATTTCATGAACAGTGTAAAAAAGGTCACGTCACTTTTGGAAATACCTACACGGTACAATATTATTATTCAACAGAAAAATAAATGCTCTGTAGAGTTACTTATACTCCTTTCTTGATTTCGTTCGGACTTCCACACTTGGATTTTTATTAATTTTGCGATAGAATATTCATCGCAAAAAAAATCAGACCTCTCATGGCGATGTGCAAAGCGGTGTCTCCCTTTTTGTCGCAGGCCGAGACCTTGGCTTTCTTCTCAAGCAGCAACTGTACGATTTCGGCATTGCGATTTCGCACAGCCTTCATCAAAGGGTTATCCCCATCCTTGTTCGCCAATTCCACGTCTATCGATCCGGCCAATAACGTTTTCACGACGGCGATATGATTTTTCTCCACGGCACAATAAAGGGCGGTTTTCTTGTCTTCGCCTTGCGCATTAACTTCAGCGTGTTTTCTCAACAACGCTTCCACGACAGACTTGTGTCCACCTTGAGAAACCAAAACGAAAAAAAAGTAGAACAACGAGAAATTCATTATTTTCCCGTTTATTTGGCAACACTCAATTCATAATTATTTATCATATGATTGAAACTCGTTCTAATTATCCGAATTGAAATTATGCCTTTGTAATCACGCAATTTTACTTCACGGAACTCTTTCCCGATATTTTTACACACCTCAATAAATTCGTATAAGTTTGTAAATAGGCGATTTCCAGGAGCTAAATATTCAATATTCAATCTGTTAATTCTCTTCGATGATTTTTGGGCATCTTGAATTCTTGGGCTAGGAAATCAAGCGATTCATGCAAAAAAATCATCATGAAAATCCAACAACTGGTGAAAATTAAAACGCTTCAGAACAGCTCTTTTAATTGACGAATGTGAAATCTTTGTTGATCGATCGCAAAAATGGACGAACGTGAATTTTAAAACGCTTCAGAAAAGTCATGTAAATTGCAGAAGTTTTTGACAAAATTTTTGAAGAGCTGAAATGTAAGCTTGTGCCATTGAGAACTGAAGAAATTGGGCCCCTTTTTGTAGTCAAATTCCAGCTACTCTGAGGACTCCCATCCTCTGAATTGTTGGAATTTGACTATGAAATAGGGTTCAATTTCTTCCGTCCTCAATGCCTTAAGTTCAAAGTTCGACGAATTTCAGTTTATTGAACGATTTCACTTTTTACGCTTCACAATGTCGCTAGAAATGTACGATAAAAAAACAACCTTTTGCAGCATAAATCAGCATGGAATCCCCACTGCGATCATGCACGTTGACATATGCTCCTTGATTGAGCAATGCTTTCACAATGTCCAGGTAACCTTCTTTGCAAGCATACGCTAATGGAGGACAACCGTCCTTATCCAAACTATTCACGTTCGGTTTGTGCTGCAGGAGGAGATTGACGACGTCCAGGTGTCCTCCTTGCACAGCCACAAGCAGTGGAAACCAAGAGTACTGCAATCAAAAGATTTCAAATTTACCAGTGCCTATAATCCAACTACAGTACAGTATTTACAGAAGTTACCGATTGTGTCGTCAATATATTTTTCAGCAATAGCTTGCTGCTTCTTATGCAACGACCCATTCCGTGTTAAAATAGAACAAGGAATGAAGAATTAAGACAATTTAAATTATATCCTCGAAACGGTGAGTTGTGACCATTTCAAAAAATTGCACTGATTCTATCTTGGAAACATCGCCCATTACAGTAAAATCTCGTTACCCTTGCGACCTGAAAAGAAAAACCTTCCCTTGAAGCAAGCCTTAAATAACTGCGGCCATACGGGAGGAACCCCCAAAGGAATTCGTTCTGAACAACAATTCGCTATATCGATATCCTTCGCGAGAATATTTCACTGAACAGTATTATAGATTATTTTCAAAAAGAATTCAGAGAATCGAGCTCACGGGATTCATTAGCCAGCATAAAAAAATATCACGAAGTGAGAGAGCATACGGTAAACTATTCCGTGGTAATCTTAATGAGTTATCAAATAAAAGCAAAAAATGAATTCAGTTGGAAAAAATGAATAAACTTTAATTCGAAATTTTCTTGCGAAGCGATCGCTGGATAAAATTGAGAAATGTAAAATCTTTGTTACCCAGTCGTGAAAATTCAAGAACGTGAGTTTTTTAAATTTTTCAGAAAAGTCCAGCATTATTCGCAGAAGTTCTCTAGTAAATTTTCAACACGCTCAAAAAATTAATTCAGTTGAATATAATGAAAAATGAATTAACTTGAATCCGAAATATTTTTCAAGGCTGGAATTCGAACTGTTCAGAATATTTCAGTTTGAAAATCATTTTCCCTTTTTTTTTTTTGCTTTTCCACTCTGTACAACATTCATTCTATTAAGATGAGCCAATTTATTTCCGTCTTTTCTAAAGGATTAGAATACGAACCAATCCGGCGGAGTCGACGTTCGCCCCGCGGTCCAACAAATACCGAACGCTTTCCAAGTAGCCTTTCCGACAAGCCCATACCAATGGCGTGGTGCCGAACTAAAAACAGAAAAAAGAAGAAATGAAATCGAACTAATAAATAGTTTTCTCTCTCTTTCTACGTGATCCCAAGCGTAATGAAATCTGGAACTTCCATATTATACGCGTGTCAGAAAACTTCGCTAGGTATGCTTTTAACACATTCCAGACGAGCGCTACGGGATAAAAAAAAAAAGAAGACAGGGATAAAGAATTTTCGAGATGGGGGGATAAACCGCACATTCCTTTCCGAAATCAAGATAGACAGAATTAATCGTTTTGAAGATACTGGAAGTGTTTTCACGCAAAGGCGGGGCAGAAATTTCAATTTTTCGCTTCGGTTTTGTCATACAAACATCGAAAGCTTACAGAAATACGAACGAGGAAAACAGCGTGGGAAATGCTGTAAACGGATTGTAATATTTTGTAGGTGCACTTGAAAAGGGTTTAAGTTTACATGAAAAAGAAGATCCTCGAATTGGCTTTTCAAAAATGTATGAATTTCTTTTGAAAATACAAAAGGAAAAGTTACTTCACGATTCAATTTTATGATGGAAAGTTACCACGCAGGGTGAAGGATACAATTTCAAGAAATGAAACGTGCATGAAACGAAAAACTAATGACATTTTTCTTCCTTCAAAGCCCAAGATGAATATTTCGAGAAATTCTTCCGAGTCATTCGCGTTTTACAATAAAATTAATTCGTTAATGTTACCTCTTTTCAAAATTTAAGTTGATAAATCTAAGAGATTATTCGTGTCATAAGCATTTTGAGAAAAAAATTATCAATTTTTCTTCGATCAAATTTCAAGATGAAATATGAAGAAATTATTCATTTCATTCACATTATAAGCCGAAAATGACATCTTAAAATTTTTTTTTCTTCCTTTACCCTGGGCGCAAGTTTACAATATTTCTGGCCAAATTTGTGTGCAAACCCTCGAAGTGTGTCAATTAATTTCAAGAGAAGCTAATTTCGAAACACCAAGTTTGAAACGAGTGATTGCATAATGGAAAATTCGCAAAAAAGCAAGTTCTCAGAAGTGCGAGGTCACGAAAAAAAACCGTTTCCTCTGCGAGAAAGTGCAAAAAAAGTTCGAGAGGATAAATGAACACTTGAAAAAAAAATAGCACATCAACAAAAGAGTATCAGAACAGCAAACCTCAGAAGTCAGGTAATTGCTAATTTTTCTGGAAAATACAAAAAATGTATTCGCATTTGTGCCTTTTCTTTCGCACACATGCACGAGACAAGTCCATTAAAAAACATGACTTCGAAATCCGAAAATACGACTCCAAAATTTACCGAGTACAAAAAAAAACGCAAGAAACAGTAAAGTCAAATTTGTTCTAGACATTAAAGCTAGAAGAAATGTTGTAAATCTCCGGACTCGCGTCAACCAGGTACTCTTTCAATCGATGAAATTTCTCGAAACAAAATGAGCATAAATAGTTCATAATTCGTACATTACCTAGCGTCAAATACATAAACATAACAAAATACCGTGACCATACAGCATCCGAGACTAAAAGAATTCTCCAAAAAATATATATATATATGCACACGAAGTTTCACATTGAAAAAAAAACCCCCCTGCGCATTAATTCAACACTTCTCCTACGTCCAGAAGAACGCAAAAGACGTCAGCTTCGACGCCGTTCTACCGGCTCATATTTTCTGAACTCTTTGTCGAGGTCATATTATTATTTTTCCCGTCAAGAATGCAGCCATAAATCATTAGGTCAGGAGAGAATTCTTATGAAACCTGGGTCGGGCACAGGAGACCGTCAGAAACGGGAGCACTCTGACAGAGCAATATTAAAAATTTTGCTCGCCTTCTTTTCTACGCTGAGAAAACCTCGTTATTCCTGTCTCATATACTCGTACACTTGAACTTCAATAACTCCAACATCCCCAAGTCAAATACTGTACCTCCTTGTTTCGAATTTTTCAAAGTTTCTGTCTGAATTTACTTTGAAACAATGCAATTTAGAAAGCCTTCCCAACTCGAAGGCTTTCCTCCTCAACCCTCCAAAAGTCGAATTTTCTGGAGGACTTCTCGCAATTATTTTCTTGACAAAGGAAAGAGAAAAGGAATACAAATGTAACTTGATTCATTTTGAAAGGAAATGAGAGAATAGTTGGGCAAATGAACCCCTGCCTTCAAGTTCAGAACCCTGTCAAATTCCTTTCTGAAGCAGTTTAGGGCCCAACATATCACCCATTACAAATTCCTGCATTTTTTTTAATTTCCCTCAACAAAAAAATTCTTGCTTCCCCAAATTTTAAAATGCTTTGCTGTTCCATTGAAGTTAGATTTTGACCGTACTGTATAGTCATTTTTTAAAATACTGTACACTTTTCAATCTGAATTTTTATTTTTCTAGGCGAGAAAAAAACAGGTAAGGTGAATGGTTGTCAAACTATGGTCTATGAGCGGCACAAATAAGTTTGTCACACCCTTCCAAAACTATGATTCGTCACTGTTTGCACAAAGCGACGAGGATTTCTTGACGACGAGCGCAGAAGCTCGAGTGATTCATTTCGAATTCCGTTCATACCAGGCATCATATACGCCACAAATACTCTAAAAGACTGCGCACATGAAACGCATATGAACGAGTCATAGTCATAATCACGTCTGGCACTCGAGACATTCCTGGGTACTGTCTTTTCGCGAAATGAATGATTTCTGAGAGATTATGCGCCATAGACGTTCGACAATGCGTTGAGTGTATGTCTCAAACTTCACTTTTTCAAGGTGTAGTTTTTGGAAGAAGAAAAAAATAGTGAGGATCTCCGCGCCGAGTTGAAACAATTTATACCAGGTGCCTAATGATGGTAAAATTCATTATATTATTACCTATCGTAATCCTTTGCGAATAATCTCCACTGATTCTGAACGCGATGCGCAGCTCTCATGAATAAATACGCTTTGACACTTTCGTCAAGCTTTCAATCACAATTTCTAATATAATCCGAACTCACAGCGTGCACAAAAAAATCGAAAATCAAGCGGAATCCCTTCAGTGCGTCAGAAAGGAAGAAGAAGGGAAAACGCAGATGGTAACAGACCTTGTCAGGTACATTGGGCTTTGCTCCGTGATTCAGTAGCTCGATCACGACTTCCGCATGACCCCGACCCGCGGCCCAAATCAGCGGGGTTGCATGGTAATACCCAGCGATATTCGGGTCCGCCTTTTTCTCCAGAAGGCATTTCACGATTTCCGCGGATCCTTTGAAACTTGCCCATAGAAGCGAAGTCCATCCACACTGCAGAAAAAAAAACCGAATATACAGAAATAGTTCGGTTAAAAATTAACAAACCCAAGAATAATTCGTGGGAAAAATTGGGCAACGAAGTCTCGAACCTAAAAATTATCCCAACCAATTCCGAACAAAAAGAACACTTCAGTATCTTTCGGAAAAAATTGAAATCTTTTCGTGAATGCGAATGCAAGTCAATATAGTTCGTATGCTTCGTCCGCCTTGAATATTGCATTTTTATTTTTGTGTTGAATGAAAAATACGTTATATCTACAGCGTGATATTACCACTCATGAAATATATTTCAAGGACAGAAGGAAAAGAGTCGATACAGCAAATAAGTTCGCTGAATAATTTAGGAGCTTTGTGCATTTGAAGACGATCTAATACTCAAAATGCCATCACATACCAGAATTTTAAAAAATTATAAAATAAAATTTTCCCAGTAGGAGAACGACATTCCAACGAAAAAAGAAGTGTTTGGATTTTACGCGTTATGCTGAAGTTCAACGTTGTTAAAATGGTAGGCACAAAAGTTTCCTTATTCCGGACCGCAATTGAACTTTTCGCAAATAATTTTAGAAAGCTGACCGAGTTTTTGGCATTGGTCTGATTGAAGCATTGACACTTTGAAATTCCGTCACCCGGAGACCTTCGCCTCAAGTTACAAACGATAAATTTTAAACTATCCCTCGAATATTATATTGGAAAAATAATTAAATCGAAAAGAACAAAAAGACTGATATTTAATCTACCAAGAACAAAGGAAACCCGTTGGGAACGGAAGGAAAAATCCATCAATTTCGGTCTCCTGCGTAAAAAGCTGAAAGATTCACGAGACAACTGAAATGTAAGATTGACAGGAAGCGGAAATGGGGGCATTGAAGGGAATTCTCGAGCACGAAAAGCAACACGTGTTCAGGCTAAAATAATCACTGTACAGTACAGTACAGTACTGTACCCAAAATACCTGTCTCAAAAACGATGCCCTGTACGATAAAAATGATCATGCCTTCCTTGAATTCACGCATTAAAATTTTCCCCTTCAGAAAATGAGACCCTCACCAATACGTTTCGGCAGTTGATTTGAAAAAAATCGGCGTTATCCAGCAAATCTTTAGATTATTTTTCATTATTTTTTTTTGCAACTGCCGGTCCCGCGGATTAATTCCAGCCAAATTAAAAAAAAAAATCGCAGAGTGCATTGAGAAAAGGGCAAAAACTCGTCGAGTGCCTTTCGCAGCCGGCTCAACCCTCCCGACAACACTTTCGGCGGATATGTTTCGGGAGCGTTAAAATCAGATGCTAGAATGACAGAAACTTGGCAAGCGAAAAACCACGGCGAGGATAGACGAGCATGACTTACATAATCTGCCTGATCCGGGAACGCGCCGTGTTCCAACAGCAGGCGCACGACTTCCATATGCCCACCCTTCGCCGCCAGCAACAGGCTCGTCCATTTCTCCTGGGATATCGACAACAACAAAAGTTTTCGTGTGGGAATCAAATTTCAAATCAGATGAAAACAGTTTTATAGTTGTTAGAGACTAAGAAGTCTCGAAAAAGAAAATATGAGAATTTCAAATGAAACACAGCAATCAGCCTGGGACTGGCTGGGAGCCTCTTCATAGAGGCCCCAAAAGAATTGAGTATTTAATGATGTCCCAAAAATTAGTGCAACTCAGAGAATTTTGGACTTTACACACACATCATTTCACACAACACAATGATAAAATTAGATATTTTAAGAGCTCTTCAAACTTCAAGAAATGGCAGCAAAATTCTACTGAGGAGGTCCCAATTTATTTATTTATTTTTTATTATTTATTTTAGATTCTGAATTTTTGACATTGCAAAGAGAGGTGATCAGTCTCCTTTGCATGTTTTACAATAGTTGATGCAGAAATAAATTCATTCATGGATTAGGAACAAGGCCTTTAAAGTCTTTTGTTTGCACCAAAAGCTTGTGCATCAGTGAGATGAAAAAAAATCTGGCATGAAGGTTTTTCAGATTCTCATCACCCAAAGAAAAAGTTGGGTTTGGAAAAGTGGAAATATCTCAAGATGCCAGTTGGATCAATTTCTACATGATCAGAGGAAAGTTAGAGAACATCTTTTTAGCTTTAATGTAATTTGCAGAACTTTTCAAGTAAAAAATTTGCAGAGTTACAGTGAGACCCCCACATGAGGACACCTCGACCTGCGGACAATTCGACATAAGGACACTTATTTTCTCACAAAGAATTAATAAAAAAAAGCCCGACATGAGGAAACTGACTCAACATAGGGACATTTTGTTAAAAAAAATTGCGTATACATTTCAGGCCAAATTACAAGAAACAGATATTGTATTTCCAACCCTAAAGTTGATGGTAAGAAAAGTTCTTGGGCATTTCTCTCACCAATTT